TAGTCCACAGGAATTCTATTGGCGTTTCTTATTAAGATCTGCCTTCAGCCCTGGTTTAGTCTTTAGAAGTGCTTTGTTGGCTTTCTGGGAATAGATATTTTGTATCAGCCTCTTTATCAGTGAATTAAATTGCAACACCTTCTGCAATGTACTGCTTTTGTGTTTTTTGTAGTGCCCATTTGTGCTGCCACATTTGCCTACAAATATACAGTAACTCCATTTCACAGTAAATCCCGTGAAGCGCTTTTGAGACGTCTTTCCAACGTGATAAGGAGTTATACCAAATGCATGGATTATTATTACTTTTAAGTACTAGAACTTAATGGAGTATTTGGGGGAAGTTGGACATAATAGAGCTGTAAATGGAAGTAGTTAGCTCCAGTGGATGAGCTAACACCAGGACAGGCTCAATTGGCCTATGACTTCCAGGAATCAGTGACCCTTTGACATGTGTCAAGAGTTTAAATCCACTGTCCTCTCAGGTCAACAGATAAGATCCCAGCAGTTGGCTACAACATGCTTGTACCATCTGAGCCCTTCAGCTTCCATTATAAGTCAAAGCATTGACACACAGAGAAATAAAACGAAGGAGGGGACAACAAGACAAGTGCTCTGTGTTTCAAAGGAGGACAGAAATCTTAGTATAACCTGACTGCACCGATCGATGTCTGGGCTCTGGTGATCAGATGACTAAACTTGACAAAGAGGAAATAAACACACCATCATCATCATCACTATCCTTCTCCCTCCTGAAATTGGGACAAATGGAGAAGATATTTAAAACACAATCCCATGTGATGCCGTTTATGCAATAGGACCCACTTGTTTTTTGTAAGCTGTTTTTCTGTAAGAACTACAACAATTTTCATTTATGTAGCGGCCTTCATATAAGATAACATCTTGGAGTGCTGTATAGTGGGAGGGTTTGTGACTGAGCAAGGAAGGGGGAAGGGACAGATGATTGGCGCAATTGAAGAGGTAGATTTCCAGGTGGGATTTAAAATCAGATAGAGAGTGTGAGGAGGAAGGATTGAGGTAGTAGTTCCAGAGATTAGAGGCATACTAGGTGAAGGCATGGCTACTGAAGGTGGTGCTGAGCGGTTGGGGGATATCTTAAGCACTCTGAGATGCTACCCTGCGTGGAGGGCACTATATATAGAGCAAGTTGTTATTGTTGTTGGTATATTCTACTTTCTGTGAGAGAAAACCTATTTTCTTCAAAATAGCAGGGCAGTTCAATAACCTTACAAAAATGGTATCACCCGAATAGAGATCTGATTATGTAGATCATTTCAAAATGTCATAATTTCATGATTATTGGCATTGTCCCTATGCTGGCTCAGTTGTGCTCCTAATCAGGCATGAATGCATGCATGACGGAGAAGTGAATAGAGGGGTATGGGAGAGGAGAGGAGATCAAGAGGAGTGTTTATGCTCACGTGGAGCATAAACACTGGCAAAGAGTACAACAACAACTTGCATTTATATAGTGCTCTTTGCACAGGGTAGACGCTCGCAGACTAGTTGGACCAAATGACCTGTTTCTCTGCAGTAATGTTCAAGAGCTATTTGAAAGCACAATGAAACAGGCAGAACAAAATCTGTGGTAAAAGCTGATCAGGTCTCTTTCTCCTCCAGAGTGCTGTGGAATAGTGGGCAGTGGGGTTGAAAAAGTGCTTGAATGTTGAAACCACCTTAGGAACAACTTACGGAACCTGCATGCCCCTGAACTGGAAGACTCAATGTGTCCACACTTACATGTAGCTCCAACCACTTAGCTCTTCAGAGCTGAGGCGTTGCACATTGGCGAGATGTCGAGGGGATACCTGACCAGGATCTTAGGGAAAATGTCATTAAACTTGAACAAAATTCTGGGGTATTCAATGATCACCTGAATGCACAGATGAGGATACAGGACTGAACTCACTTATAAATATCCTTTTTTCCCATCCCAATACAATGAGGTTGAATATGCTGCAATTGCTGACAGAATTTCTCATTAAGGAAACAAGCGTTTCCCATTACCCCACAGAAACTCCGCACTGATACAATCCATTCTCAGAGCAGAGTTTCTGTGAGTTAACGGGACATACTTCCAGGCATCGGAAAGCATCTGCACTCAGAGCAAACTTTGGAAATCATGTAACTTTATGTATTATATGATGTATAATATTACATATTTAAATTGAAAATTTAACACACCCAGTTCACCAGTATTGGAAATGTAGATCGGAAAGGTATGTGAGTGTCGAGAATAGAAATGTATTAAATCAAAAAGGTGTGGCTGTATTCAAACTGAGATCCTGTTCAACACTGGCTCTCATTGAAGACAGTGACAGTCACCGTGCTACATGTTATTGAGAATACTCACAATTAAATATTGAAAGAACAAATCTTGAAGAGGGAGAAGTCGGGGAAATGTAATCAAGAAAAGTACATTCAATATGATTCAAACAGGTTGTTATGGAACAACTAACAGCTTCCCGCAGTGCAAATACAGCAAAAGGAAATGCAGAGATTCTGGTTTTATTAAGTGAGATGTGGAATCCTGGGAGATCCAGGAGGTGCATTCTTTGGACGAGACTTTAAACTGAGGCCCGGTCGGTCTATTTAGGTGGATCCTATGGCACTGTTCATACAGAGAAGGGAATTTCTCCTGATGGTCTGGCCAACAATCTTCTCAAATAAAATTGGCCATTCATTCCATGGGTGTTTGCTGGACATAGTTCACTTCATTTTACAGTATATTCTGTGAAGCGCTTTGAGACGTCTAGAAATCGTGAATTATTATTTCAAATATAAGTATTATTATTAGTAGTAGAACCTGTTGTATGGAAATTGTTTGACAATACAGCACAAGGCATAAACTAAATGATAACACTAATCAGTGATGAGCTTGGTTAAATTTAAGTAGCTTGCTGAACACACATCCTGATTTTACAAAGTGGTACATGCAACTTGCAATTAACAAGTCCACCACTTGTCCACCTACAACAACAACAACTTACACTTGTCGGAAAGACGTCCCAGGGCGCTAGACAGTCAAGGTTTTTCGGACACAAGCTGGGAGTTGGGTTCAGGAGGGGTGGAGGGCAAAGGGGTGGGGGTGGGAGGGTGGCCAGAGGAGATCTTTAGATAAGGCTTGAAGGAGGCAAGAGAGGGGGTGAGGCAGAGAAATTGTGGGATAGAGTTCCAGAGTGTGGGGGCAGAGATGCTGAATGCCCGACCGCCAATGGTGGGGTGGGAAGGGCGGGCGCCCTGAAGCAGGCCAGTGTCTGCCGATTGGACGGGGCGGACAGACTGATATAGGGTTAGGAGGTTGGAGAGGTAAGAGGGAGCAAGACCATGGAGGCTTACAACACAGATGGAGTGTGGATTCCTTCCACTACAATTGTGTGGAAGCTGGTTGGTGCACGTGTGGAGAGCAGGCACCGTGAATTTGGAAGTGTTGACTGACTATCACAGCCCTGTGTTATATAATAATCCTTGCATTTTGATATAGCGCTTTTCACGTCGGGAGGACATCCCAAAGCGCTTCACAGAACACACTGTAAAGTGAATTGACTGTATATTTGTGGGCGAACACGGCAGCCAATTGCGCACAGCAATGTCCCACAAACAGTCGTAGATCGAAAATGATCAATTTATTATTGTTTTTGGTTTTGGAGGGATTATTATTAGGTGTGTGGAGTAAGGAAACTTGCCCAAGGTTTCGCCCTGCCTGGAATTGAACCCAGGACTCTCACTTGCAAAGCAAGTGCTCTAACCACTGAGCTACAGGACTCCACAAGTCCTGTAAAAGTGGGTTGGGATTTAAGGATCCCAACTACCACCTTATAATGGGCTCCATTGCATCTCTTAATAATAAGGGAATCCTGAGAGTTTTGGTCAAAAAATGGTATCCCCTTAATCTTATGTAGCAAATTAACAGTTTTGCAAAGGTCATAATATTATCTTAATGTTTTCAAAAACAAAACAATTCAATTTGCATTTTGGTGGCAGACTGGATAGGAATCAACCTGCAGGTACCTGTTTTTTTCTTGCGTTACTTGACCTCATTTCAACAATTTGCATTTATGTAGTGCCCTTCACATGGGATGATGTCCAGGAGTGCTTAACAATGGCACAGTTTGGCAGTAACTGGAGAGTGCTGTATTATCTTAGGTACCATCTTTCAGAGACATTAAGCGTGATGAGATGCCGTCCAGTGTTAAAGTAAAGTCCTGCCTGCCTGTCCAAATGGATGGTAAAAATGCCATGATATTATTTGAAAAGAGAAGGAAGTTCCTCCTATTGGTCAAACTATCAGTCCTCCGGATAAATTGGCAATTAACCTCGCGGCTGTTTGTTGGGTATTGCTGGTGCAATTGGCTGCTGTATTTGCCTTCAAAAACAGTCACTACACCTCACATGAATTTTTTGTGAAGCAGAGATATTGCAACGTGAAAAGGCGCTGTAAGAACTCAAATTCTTTCTTTCTACTTTTGAGAGGAATAGATTATTTTGTAAAAAAAAGGACCAAATAATAATTAATAAAAAAAATGTTGAAATGCTAGATTAAAAAAAAATGACTTATGGGAAAGAGAGCCTCTGTAAACTGCACCTGCCAGCTGGGATTCACATGCACTTTTCCATAGTAACCAGCGCTTTCTAACCTGACTGCAGCTGACAACAGGGTCATTTCAAGAGCACTCCACAGACTCAGCCAGGCTCCATTTTCTGCAATTCCCGGGGACCTAAGGTCGGCTATAGAGACTGAAGGATCGATAGAAACGATAGCACTGTCAGGTGGGTCAGTCCTCAGTGGCCGTGGAGCGGGACACTGGCCACCGGCTTATGCAATTCAAGTTAAGGGAGAGCAGCACAGCACTGTCACTGAATTACAATCTGGGGGGAAAATGTCAGACTGCCCTGGATCTGGCTTTCCCCACAAATCACAATAAGTTGGGAGTTAATTTTGAAGACTTGTACAAACAACATGATCTTTTGCTGTCACTTACCATGTATTCCATAGTCCCCTTGGGCTTCTGAAAAGACATTCGCCGTGCATCCTTCTTCTCTGGGGTCTTCTTCTGGCCGGTATCTGAAAGCAGACGAGGCAAGGTGCGGGTTAATTCCATGCTGGTTTCTTTCTCGACTGGTCAGGCACTGCTGAATCCGGTTCAGCCGAGAGGCAACTCTTGACAGCCAGAAGGTTGGATGCTGTGCCCTCTGTCTCGAACACACACATTCACTCATTCGCCACAGGCTGACTACAGTCACTTCTCATAGGCAAGCAGGTTCCCGATGCCTGAAAGAAGCTTCCCTTCTTCCCTTGCCCTGACCACAACACAGCTCTTCCCTGAGATCTCGAAAGAGATCGACAAAAAAAGGCGTTTGACAGCTGCTGGCATCCATGGAGCTTAATCAATACTGAAGAGTTTGAATGACTTCACACATATCAGGAGGGGTTTGCATTAATTACAAATGCACAGCTCCAGCATTTAATTGAATCCATTCTGTATTCTGGCCGCCTGAAAGCTGCGTTTCCGATAGGAGCTCTCATTCCTGCTCTTAACCCCTCACAGCACTGAACTTCCACTGCAGTCTGCACACATAGTATCAGACCTCCTCTATAGAGATTTTCAGATCACTTAAAGCTGCACTACCCATAGTTACTTTTATAAACCGAGGCTCCGCCAACCTGCATCTTTACGTGAAAAGGATCCCAAAATTTCAACAACTTGCATACATATAGCACCCCTCATGCAGGGTAGCAACCAGAACGCCAAATAAATTTCAATTTATATGCATGGTTGTGCTCAGAGTTAACTATTAACAAAACAACCTACCAATAGGAATAAAACATTCAGCCTAACCGTATACTTTAAAAGGACATAAATAAAGGCTTTGCAAAGTTGTCCAACATACAACATGATAATATAAATCAATATGCTACAATACTATTTAATCAGTGAGTAATTGCACCAGTATGGAAGTGCCTAACCAACTTCAATCTCCCTCCTCTCCTATCTCTCCCTTTAGGTGACTTTATGAAGCCTGAATGAACTTCAATATAAATATAAAGGAATGCTGCCTATGTACACTCCTCTAATTAAAGCAACTGGTAATTGCATTCATTTCTGGACACACAAAAGCAAATAGATGGATCAGAATTTACACCGGGGAGAATAAGTGGGTACTTAGCAAGCTCTATAATTCACTGAGCTTGACATTTCAGGCACGGTCATGGTTTGATGTTTGCAGTTGCCTTAACTACATTTGTTACTGCATTTAGAAGTGTAGAAGTGATGCTGTGGAATCATCTTGTTTTTGTGGTTTGGTGAAGCCAGCAGACAGGCAGACAAATTGCACAAACTGCATTTTTACAGTAGCTGGAGAGGTACGGGGAGGTGGGGCAAAAACAGCCCACCCACCCCATACCAGACAACAATAACCACCACTGCCACAACAACTTCCATTTATATAGCAGCCTTCATGTAGTTGAACGGGATTGGATACTGAGCATGGGAGAAGGGGGAGAGAGGAGATTACATACACTCACCCTGAGTATCCAGCCTATTTGTAGCGTGGGTTTTTGAACCTACTTTATAGGCTTTATGTGCAGAGTTAATGGCAAGTGAATGGGAAGCTGAATTTTGCACTGCAAAATAAATGCACTAAAACAAAATAATCCTTGCATTTGATACAGTGCCTTTCACATTGAGAAGATGACTGAAAGAGTTTCACAGGATTCACTGCAAAGTGTAGTGACTGTATTTTTATAGGCAAATGATAATAATTAACACTGGATAATCAAAAATCAATCACAATAACAGCTCAGGGCCTTTCATGGTAAGGCCCATATTCCAAAATGTTTTACATGCAGGATATGAAGTTATAGAAAAAAAAGGCCCAAAATTTCACCTAGTCTTAGCCTGCAAGGCTATTTTGTCCTTAAAATGTAAGATTGTACAGAATTGCAGAATTAAAAAAAACAACCTTAATTTGACTTCATTACATTATGTCTGAATTCAAGAATATTCCACAAGTCTGGGCTCTGAAGTTTCCAGTCCAGAGAAAATGTTAAACTCTTTAAACATTCCTCACAGACACTCGTTTGGTCACAGTTCTTGCCAATACTGGCAACACCATTGCTGTACTTGTTAGCTGCCTTTGATAGCTGGAAACAGGCAAGGAATGAATATGACCAATAGATGTCGGTGTGACTGCAGCATCTCCAGAATGGTGTGACATTTGCTCACTGCCCATATAGAGTTTGCAGCAATAAATCAATCATCTGGATTCAGATCAGTATGCTGATAATAATAATCCTTGCATTTGATATAGCGCTTTATCACATCTTCGAGATGTCTCAAAGTGCTTATGATGGTCAAATAAGGCTGTCTACATAGATCAGCTGTGCAATCAATTTGAAAGAGTGAATCCTTTAAATTATCATGTTTGTAGTACAGTATATAAATGGGACAAAATAAAAACCCATGTGAAATCCTGTTCCAAAAACAATAAACTACGGCCTTGCTGAGCATCCCTCGCCCCCACCATCTGGCCAAGCCTTCAGCAACTGTACCACCAATCTCTGGAACTCCCTCCCTATAGCCTCTCCCCATCTCTATCCATCTTTAAATCCAGCCTAATAAACTACCTCTTCATTCACTCATGCAGTCACCTCCCCCTTCCCTCTTTGTGGAATCCCGTAGCGTAGTGATTAGCGCGCTCGCCTCACAAGAGAGAGGACTCAGGTTCAAGTCTGGGCGGGGCGAAACCTTAAGCAACTTTCCTTTCTCCACATGCCCTTGTTTATCTAGCAATAAGTAGGAACCCAGTTGTTACTCGTTTACTTCTTAACAACTTCAAATAAAGCAGATTTATTTTCCAATCTAATACTGCACACAGAATAGGCTGTTCCTTCATCCTCCAACCATCATAGTAAAGTACCATTAATCTTTGATATAATTACTTAGCAAACAATATTTACTCACTTACTCACTCCCCTCTTTCAAGGTAGTTCTCAAAACGTACCTCTGACTGTTCTTTCGGTCATCTTTCCCCTCCTCACTCCTGTCCACCTCCACCCTCAGCTGTGGTAGTCAGGCAGAATTTCAAGCGCTTTGGGAGGTCATCCCGGCATAAAAGGCATTGTATAAGTGTAAATATGTATTGTAAATTGTAATGCATATTTACAGGGAAGGGAAGGGAGTTCTTGTGATTCCAGTTTTAAAGAAGTAGGAGCAAGGCTAAGTGACAAGAACACTTGTTTATTTCATACCAGGTTTACACATCAAGATAGATTGCATCACCCCGACAAGAGTATGCTGCACTGTAGAGTTTCACCACTTATCACTGCTATTCACAGAATGATGGCATGGAAGTAAGAATTATATTACAGAATGTACAGCAATCCAATGTACAGAATGTCAATGTAATCCACATTTAGCACAACAATTTGGTTGAGGGTTCACAATGACTTCCTCTAGTAACACATATTTTGAGTGACCCACGGCTGCATTAAGCAATAGTGAAACTTTTTTTTAAAAGAAGTAAAATTGTACACATATACTAACAAGGAACAACTGAAAATGCTTGCAATTTTTTTTGTTCAGTTTATTAGCAATACTGAACATTGTAATGGTATTTAAATACAGTTTGCACAAGCCAACAAGACTGAAACTGCAATAGAGAATGGTTCAAAGTTCAACCTGGGATTTTATTTACTCTGCATTTAGCTTTAAGGATATTCCGGGTCCCCACAGAACCTGTCCTGTTTACATTGCAGACGGGAATCAAAACCATCAACACAGACACACCTCAGCAGATGTGAACACTTGCAACTTGAAAGCATTGCCCAGTAACTTTCAAGTCGCAGGTTGTGATCTTTCGATTTACAGGCCATGAGCATTCCCTGATTAGCCTCTTGAGGTGGGCTTGAGCTCTTCAGCTAAATTTTCCCAGAGCTTTTAAAAAACCACGGAAGCCAGCACAACTCATGGCAGTGAGAGACACCATTCAGCTCTCTGTCTTAGGTGCTTTGGAGCTCCGGAGTGACTTTGGGACACACATGGTAACTGCCTCTGGAAGCATCAGCGCTGCCTCAGTTATATTGCACACTGATGCTGCAATATAAACGTGGCATTAATTGAATCATTCAGTCAGTGTGATTTCCCTTGTAAAAGAGGCTTCCCAGGGGAACTGTATTAAGAGGCCTCACTATAACATGCAGTTCCCCTTTGCTTTCTTACCCACAGACCATCTACCAATATTTTACTCATTCAATCAGAATGGCTGCCGGACACTAATTGAAATGTTCACTTAATTAGGTGACAAGGAAAGAGACTGCAGTTTATAGTTTACTGAGACAGGGTGAGATAATAGATGATGACCTGTGGGATAAATACCTAAACAAACTCTCCCAATGACAGGACCTAGAATGCATGAATGGCCTTCTCAAGAATTTTGGATGGGAACTCAGTCTATCCCATCCCACCCCATCCTATTACTGTTTTTTTGAGCTATGGGTAGTTACAGCTTTGAAACTATGTGCACTGAAATTTACATGCTATAAGAAATGTCCAGTTACATAGTTTTATATCAAACACTTACAGATTTTTCTATCTCGCCCACCCACCTGCGCACAACCTCATCCAATGTTATTATCAAAGCTGTACACAGCAACATTATTACATTTTGCCATAAATTTCAATAGGTGGAATTACATCAAATGTTAACTCCTACGCAATTCTGCTTCTCTTGATTTTTTAAAAGGAAATCTGAGTAGTGACAGCGAACCTCTAGTTTCAATTCCCTGCAGGATATTATTCAAAGAACATCCAGCGGTTTCATTACAATAGTGCTTACCATTGCTTCAATTGAACAGACCTATTCATATATGTACAGGGGGACCAAAAAGTTGTGATACCATTACAATATCTGATAAATCTTAAAGAAATGATGATATTTTTGTGTTGGTTTTGATAATCCGGGAACTTTACGACTTTTTGGTCACCTTGTATGAGCTATAGGGTTCATGGTTGTGGAGTCCTGTAGCTCTGTGGTTAGAGCACTCGCTTTGCAAGTGAGAGACCT